ATATTGCCACATCCTTGAACCTGCTTTCTGACTATATTTTCAGACTCAACTCTGGATCCACCAAATTCAAAACTGTTTCCTTTGGGAATTCAGGTCCCAGAAGTAAAGGCAGTGTGGGAACTTTGCAAGTTGGGGAGGGGGCAAGTGGGTCTTTGACTCCCCACATAGCTTGCAAAGCCTTTTGGGTTCTGACCCCTACCTACAGTTTTAAATTTCCATCCTTCTCCTCTTGCTACTCAGAACTCAGTTCTTTCAAGACCCAAGCACTTACACTTCAGACCTCAAGGAGCATACTGTTTCCTCCTCGGAAGCATTTTCTAAGTCTCATGTCTCAGCTTAGAAATCTCGGCTTAACTGGACTCCCCAAACTGGGTGCGATCCGATTCCCATTCCCACCAACCACCCTTTATAATTATAGTACCAAGTATGTACAGTACTGTGTAGTTGTCTGTACCCATGGGTCTCCCAAGGGTGCAGCACAGGATCTAACATGTAGACGATGCTTAAGAAAGCATTTGTGAAGCAGTGAATGCCTGTTCTATGACTGAGCTCCTGCCCTTGTGCCCTGACCGAGGAACCAGCTTTCTATGACCAAAGCTGCTCAGAGAAGGGAAGCCCTTGGTATGCTTCTATAGGGGATTTCTGCCTAAACCTGAACCTCAGGACCTTTGGAGCATTGATAGAGGTCTCAAGGCTGGAAAAGAAGCAAGTTGTCATTGCTTGAGGTAGGAATTTTGGATGTATTGAGATTGTGTTCTTGTCCTGGGACCTATACCCCACATGGACCAGTCCTTTGTGCAAGAGATCATCAAATCCTACGACTTCCACTGGACTCAGCAATAGAAGGTATGATTGGGACTAAACGTAAACAAGTGTTTCAGTGGGCTGGGGCCTTAACTGTGGAGAAGTAGATTTTCTAGGCAAGGAGACAAAATATTCTGAGCTGGCTGGCTGGTGAAGGCCTCAAACTACAGGTAGCAGAGATCTGCTATCCCCTCAGCCAAAAGAGCTTTCCCATAAAATTGAGGCATTTTGCTTTCTTTTCCAAATATTAAATTGAATAGACTTGTCTTAGTTTCTTGTTGTTGTT